AGGACGGGGGAGGGGTACANTTTTTTAATGCCATCTTCAAATCATTAGTACGTCTGGGATGCAGAAGGAAAGGTGGTCTTCGGAAGCATCTGAGAAGTTTATATTATCATTTACACAACACTAAGCAATTAGGAGGCAAAGTAGTGCAGAGATAAAAGAGGCATAAGATAATTAGCATTATGAAAACATTAGTAAGAGTCTCATTTTCATGAAATACACATTCATTATAATAGATATTTTGAAACCTAAGAGATGTCTAAAATAGTTTCTTAAATATGATTACCAAAAACATTACATTACGAAAAGAAAGAAAGAAAAATAAAACATGAAATCTCCCTAAAGAGCGAATTTCACGCGCGACATTTCTCTTCTCTTCGACATGTTTACATGATAACGGTGGTGATAGAATAGTGAGTACGACAGTTTTTACTGAACATTATTGTCGCGCCGTCTGGCAGCGGAGAGTGTCGTCTTCGGTACGGACACGGTGGATTAGGATTAAACTAAAGACGGTATTAAGAGTTAGGGACGCTACAGAAGACGCCCTTATAATGCACCTTTAGACCAGGGACACGTTAATCCCACCAATCACGTACTGTTACGTCACGTGTCCGTCATGAACTTCATGGGTGCCATCGCTCGAGTTGACATTCAGAGTTATTTTCGGCAATAACATCGATCGTCTTAGAATTTCCATACGCAGTATTTATTATGAAAATGAAATTGTATATATTTACACAAATGGTCAAATATTCTGATAAAGGAAATAACTTATGGTAATGAATATAAAAACCAAAGAAGAATCATGTACTGAATTTTTCTCAACTACTTTACAACAAAATTAACAAGTATACTTTTCCATGAACCTCCTGAACAGCATCCTGAAGAAAACATGTTTCCCTCCAACACGATTCAACGCAGCAAAGAGCTGTCCGAGGAAACTGCGCAATGGATATTAATTGATGAATGTCATTTTTGTACTTGAGTGTCATTGAAATAAAGATTGGTTTTATAGTTGTTAGAGCAGTTTCTTTGCCCATTTTACTACTATAATGTAAGATCGTTATCATAAAAAATAGAATATTTCATAAATAATCATGTTTCCCTTATAAGTGAGCCTACTTGTGCTTCGTAATTTATATGAAGATCGAACTGCATCTTGAGTGACTGACTATAACTTTCTATAACAATCACCTTTTCTGCCAATCTATGATAAATGAATATTAGTTGTCAGAAAAATCTTTTAACAATGCAGTGTCTGAATGCAAATTGCAAGGTTTATTCAAGTAAATTTTATATCGGACTGCAAATCTTTAGGTAATATTTTTAATACTGTCTTCTATATCATATGCGTAGGGACATGAAGGGTGAATGTTGATTAGATATCTTTTGGATGATTTTTTTGCTTATTTAAGGTATGAGTGACTTGCTCCAAACGCTACCCTAAACAACATGCAACAGTTATGTGTGAAGAGAACATTGCACAGAAATGTTTCAAAATACCACAGATTGTTCAGCAATAAAAAGAAACATACCTCAGCTCCCACTCTTTAGATTTAAAAACCTATTCCCACACGCCCAGAATACGAGACCAGGATCTTCACATCAACAGCAGGGCAGAACCGTCATTAGATCACAGACCAGGAACATCACAAGAATTGATAGAAATTTAAAGAGACAGTCCATTAACTTAAGATTCCAAACAAATCATATTTGAAACAGATAATCTTGAAGAAATGTGTACAGAAAATAGGTACGAACTTCTTACTTTGATATGATGCTAGTCTTAGTTTTCAATTTTGGGAACATTGGGAGGCATAAAGAATTGATTAATATGAATTTTTTAATGCCTTGTCTTCAATCATGTAGGTACGTCTGGGATGAAGGGAAGGAAAAGGTGGTCTTCAGAAGCATCTGAGGTTTATGTTATTATTTACACAACACTAAGCAATTAGGAGGCAAAGTAGTGCAGAGATAAAAAAGGCATAAGATAATTAGCATTATGAAAACATTAGTAAGAGTCTCATTTTCATGAAATACACATTAATTATAATAGATATTTTGAAACATAAGAGATGTCTAATATAGTTTCTTAAATATGATTACCAAAATCATTATATTACGAAAAGAAAGAAAGAAAAATAAAACATGGAATCTCCCTAAAGAGCGAATTTCACGCGCGACATTTCTCTTCTCTCCCACATGTTTACATGATAACGGTGGTGATAGAATAGTGAGTACGACAGTTTTTACTGAACATTATTGTCGCGCCGTCTGGCAGCGGAGAGTGTCGTCTTCGGTACGGACACGGTGGATTAGGATTAAACTAAAGACGGTATTAAGAGTTAGGGACGCTACGGAAGACGCCCTTATAATGCACCTTTAGACCAGGGACACGTTAATCCCACCGATCATGTACTGTTACGTCACGTGTCCGTCATGAACTTCATGGGTGCCATCGCTCGAGTTGACATTCAGAGTTATTTTCGGCAATAACATCGATCGTCTTAGAATTTCTATACGTAGTGTTTATTATGAAAATGAAATTGTATATATTTACACAAATGATCAAATATTCTGATAAAGGAAATAACTTATGGTAATGAATATAAAAACCAAAGAAGAATTATGTACTGAATTTTTCTCAACTACTTTACAACAAAATTAACAAGCATACTTTTCCATGAACCTCCTGAACAGCATCCTGTAGAAAACATGTTTCCCTCCAACACGATTCAACGCAGCAAAGAGCTGTCCGAGGAAACTGCGCAATGGATATTAATTGATGAATGTCATTTTTGTACTTGAGTGTCATTGAAATAAAGATTGGTTTTATAGTTGTTAGAGCAGTTTCTTTGCCCATTTTACTACTATAATGTAAGATCGTTATCATGAAAAAAAAATATTTCATAAATAATCATGTTTCCCTTATAAATATGATTACCAAAAATATGACATTACGAAAAGAAAGAAAGAAAAATAAAACATGGAATCTCCCTAAAGAGCGAATTTCACGCGCGACATTTCTCTTCTCTCCCACATGTTTACATGATAACGGTGGTGATAGAATAGTGAGTACGACAGTTTTTTACTGAACATTATTGTTCGCCGGAGAGTGTCTCGGTACGGACACGGTGGATTAGGATTAAACTAAAGACGGTATCAAGAGTTAGGGACGCTACAGAAGACGCCCTTGATGTGTTTACTGTGCAATTAACTTATTTGAAAAGAAAATAGTGAATAGTGATGATAATAATAACACTGATAATAACAATAATAATGATAGTAAAGATGAGAAAAGTAATTATAATAATGGTAATAAAAGTTATAGTAAATATAATTCTAATGATATTGATAATTTATTATTATTGCATATTATTATCATCATCATCACTATTATTATTATATTATTACTATTAGTATTTGTATATTTATATATCGTTATCTATCATCATCATATTTCTTCATCATCACTGATTGATATCACGGATATTATTATATCATTTATAAATCATTATCATCACATCAATTGTTATTATAATCGTTAGTATTGTATTTATTAGTATGTTAACATTATTATCCATCATTGTTATTACACTGTTATCATTATTATGATTATGCATTACTGTTGTTATTGCTGTTGCTACTGTTGGTATCATTATTATTATCATCTTTATTCGCCATTATTGTATCGTTATTATCAGTATTTATTACTATCAATTCATTATCGTTAATATAATCATTATTATTAGGCATGCATTGCTATTATATCATTATCATCATTATCATATATCATTATCATTATTATATTATCATTATATTATCATTATATTATATTATTTATTATTATTGTTATTGCTATTAATGATTATTATTATTTATTATTATTATCATTGTTATCATTATCATAATCATCAGTATCATTATTGTTATTTTATTATTATTCATTATTATTATTATCAATTATTTTTTGGTTGTTATCCTTATCATTATGATTATGATCATCATTGTTATTCTCATTCTTGTTATTATCATTATCTTTCTTTTCATTCTAATCATTATCATCATCTTTTATTCTATTACTATCATTATTATTGTTATCATCATTATTATTACTATTATTTTTGTTATTATAATTCTTGTTATTATTATTAATATTATTATCATTAACATCATTATCATTGTTATCATTACCACAATCATTACTATCATCATATAACATCATCATTGAAGAATCATTCTCTGCAAATGTTGGAATTGATAAAGTTATTCCAAGTATTATTTAAACTTTAAAAACCTTCGTAAAAATCCTCATCATAATCTTTTCAGATATATCAGTCGTGAAATTTATTATCGCATACACAGTAAATGCCTTATAAGCATAACGTTATAAATGGTTAAAATTCAGATAAAAGATTCGGGTATTACATCATACAAAATTCTGAATACCAGACAGAAAATAATCTCTCGAAAAATACACGTGGGAAATGATGAAGCAGATTCATTCCAACCTCAATAATTCATAAGAGCATTAAGGATTTTAACAGGTTAACAAATGCCGGGAAGTTTGCATACATTTATGTAAAAGAGTTCTCTTCATGTAATTGCACTAATTCAAATTCGTACAGCACAGAAATTATTATTATGTTGCATCCCGTTACATTATCTTTTTGATTTCCTTATCTAAAGCATGATAACATTCCTTTATATACATCTCATGATCGTCTTTAACAAGAATGAAATTGAAGTGAATATCAAAGAACTATGTTATGTAATGAATATTGTTTAACATAAAACTGTGCGAAAAGTATACACAAACGCACGTCTACAGTTACATTAATTATATATTCCTTGTCACCAGAAAGTACAAATCTTGCAATACAATGTCCAGCGTTTTTTATTCAAAATAATTTCACACTTCAGTAATACATCGTAATGACATAACCCTAAACTTTTTTATCAGGAAAGATAAACGAAAGAAAAGGTACTGTGTGAGCGAAGTGCGGATTAGCAGCAGTTGGCAAGCGGCGCAGGTAGGTCGCAGCGCCGTGCACCGTGGTGGTGACTTCGATGTGGACGCCGTCAGACGATGCAGAGAGCGGTAGGCAGACTGCTGCTACATCTTCCTTCGTGTGCGCCTAGGTACTGAAGTGAAATTGTGTATTTAGTTAACAGATACTATGATTAGAAGGTTGTGACTTGATATGGTAGGCTATAGGTGTTGGCCATAGCACTTTATGTAGTTCAGGATAATACTCGTTGTGTTGACAAATGTTTTATTTCATTTGTTTACTTACATGTCATAAGTTTTCCATATCAGTTATATTATTCTTTGTTTTATTCAAACGTACACGTGCTGACCCAAGCGGTACAAGTAAAATATAATTTTGGAAATCAGCTGTACTTTCAATTGCTGTTAGAAATAAACAATAACACGTGCGCTCATGTTTACAGCCGACGATAACGCGACTTCGAGATTGCAACATATGATCGCGAATAAAGTAATTGTTGATTTATTATTTTACGAAGAAAATGAGAATATCCACCCAAATTACATAACAAAATGTGTGTTGGAATATTTTCTTAGGAATGTATTGGCTGTTACCGTCAGTTTTATTGAAGCTGAATGGTAATGCAGGTAATCTTAGGATATGGTACGAGTTTCCAGTCAGATAATTGTGTTTTTATGTTTTCTTATGCAGTAAACAAATTGTAATTTGAAAGTCATAATTTGTTAAGAACATAACCACATGTGGCTGACTTTTGACCCCTAATTGGCCATAAATAAGTTGGCTTAGTAAAAGGAGTGCTGTATTCTATGGTATCTTATTTTTCATAGAAGCCATGATCCTAGGACTTTCCCTGTTCATTTGGTGTTGCATGCCTTCTGACACCTGTGTGCTGAAACAAGTTATAATAATCTTTTTTGAAATTACGGAGATTTGATCAGTATGATTTACTTCAGTCAATTCCTTTGAGTTATTTAATCATCAGTTATTTCCTGTATTCTTTGGTTTTCAGATTTCATAGTTAACCCGCATAAGAATTGGAAAGAAGAAATATTGTGGTCTAATTTTTACAAAATGTACACTAGTTTTTATAATATGCTGAGATGTCTATGATTTGTCTATAAGAATAAATTGTATGTAGTTTAACCCCTAAAGGACAATATAGGGTTATTCCCATACTCAGGCAAAAGTAACAAATGTTGCTTTACTTGCTAGTCATTTTATTTGTTTATTAGAGAATTTTGGATATTTGCCGTCTGCCCTGATGTATATGAACATTACTGTTGCTCTGAACCTTTTAGGTATATACAGGTTAACAACACTAATGATGATGTTTTTTTATTGTCACCTAGAATAACTTTTAGGGATTGAATATATAAAGTTTTTAAGAATATAATGGAACCAATTACATTTCACCTTCAATCACAGCAGTAGACGTACACTGTTTGTGTATGGACCTGGATTTTATTTTTTTCTTTCACGTATCAAAAATTTCAATTTGTGGAAAGCACTGTCATTAGAAACAGCTTGCATCCTGCTAAGGGGAGCTCAGAGAACCACAAGATGACTTGATGGGACACAAAGTGCTATTTCAAAGTCATGAGAAAAGATTTATGTATATTAGCTCCATTCCAAAGCTTCCAAGATTTTGAAATTTTTGTTTTAATCTCTGATTTTCTCCATAAACTTTTCAAATACCTGATTCATTAATTATTTATATTTTACATCCAAAGGCAACAAGCCTAGTAAGAATCATAACCCAGAACAAATAGAGAAAACACTTTGTCTTATAGGGCAGTCTGATGACACACACCTTGTGAAAAAAGGCTATGATCTTGTCCTAAAGACAGGATAATGTGCCAGTTTAAGAGTTATGGTTATATTGTGGCCCCCAAAAGTTGGCAATTATGGAAGGGAGTTTTGAATAGGTAGGGGTTAGATTTTTTTTTTTTTTTTTTGGGTGACTGTATGTTCATTTGTATTAGTGGTAATATTTGTCATCACATATCATGTTTGTTTTATACAGTGCTTAAGAAAGTATCATATTTGTTTTTACTCTGGTAAAATTTTCTTAAGACACTATAAATCTTATTACCAGCTGTGTGAAAAATGGCTCCGGGAAGTACTTGGATGACAGATTATGCTGAAGATGTACTGGCATGGATGCACACTAAGGAACTCCAACACATGGCTTACAATGGGAATTCTCCACAGGTTTGTTATCCATTATCTTTTTTTATATTTTATTTGTTTTATATTGTGAAAATCTCCAGCCTTGTTCTTCTTTACCATCTTTTGATTATCTCTTTTCTCCTGTCTCTTTACTTTGTGCCCCTGGCTTTGCATTTCCACTTAAATCCCATGTCCTCTCACCCACTTCCTCCACCTCTTTTCTTTTTCTACAATCTTTCTTTTCATGTTTTCTTCCTTAACTCCTCTTTCCTGTCCCTTTTCTTTCTCCCCCCCTTTCCCCTTCCCCTCACTTTCTCATTGCTACTGCTTTCATTTCCCTCATGTCTCTACTGTCCTTTCCACTTCCCTCCATTCCTTTCCCTATCCCTCTCTTCTTTCCTTCCTCCCCCTTTCCCTCCTCTTCCTTCCTTCCTTCCCCCTTCCCCTTCCTCCCTTCCCTCCCTTCCCTCCTCCCTTCCCCTCCCTCCTCCCTCCTCTCCTTCCTTTCCTTCCTTCCTTCCTTCCTTCCTTCCTTCCTTCCTTCCTTCCTTCCTTCCTCCTTCCTTCCTTCCTTCCTTCCTTCCTTCCTTCCTTCCTTCCTTCCTTCCTTCCTTCCTTCCTTCCTTCTTTCCCTCCCTCCCTTCCTCCCTATTTTCTTTGTGTTTAGGAGAGTATTCAAAGAATGCAAAATTTGTAAGGGTTAGGATGACCTAAAAATCAAATAGCCTGCCTAAACTAGCTAGATGCCATTGCCATTATAGTAGGATACATCACTTAATCTTCTCATTTAAAGGTATTTTTTTTATTGCAGCTGGCAATGCGAGGAGCTCTGGTAGAATTTTTACGCATAGTCAGCGAGCGCTTGAAATTGAGTGTTGCAACAACTCATCTGTCAGTGTACCTTCTTGATAGATTCATGGATGCACATCACATATCTGACAACCAATTACGTCTTACTGCTCTCACTGCTATATTGTTAGCAGGTATTTTTTTCTTTCTTTCCTTTTTGAATTCCACAAATGGTTGGATGTAGAGAGTAGAAAAATACCAGTTGGCTATATTAAAGTATTGTCATTCCTTATTTATGATTTTTTTCAGCAAAATTTGAAGAAAAGGACATGAATGTGCCAAGAATTCCAGAGCTAAATGCATTTGCCAATAGCAGATATAGCATAGCTATCTTTAACTCAATGGAAGCATTTATGTTGACATTTTTTAACTGGAGCATAGGTATGTCTTTGCTCTTTATTACCATCACATTTGAGAAACATTATACCTTCATTGGCTTTCATTCACTATTATAATCTATTTCAGATTTCTTAGGACATAAAATGTTAGAGAAGCATTGTATGCAATAGCCTTCATTTTGTTGTAAATATTTTATTTTAAAAAACTTACCCGTATATTTTGTTATTGGTTGCAAAAATGTATTTATATGTATTTGGCTTTATTATGACCATTTCATTTTCCCCAACAATTGTGTTGATACTACTAGGTATTTAATAGAAAATTAGAATATTGAGATGCTTCTTGTAAGTGGTATATATTGAAATATAATTATGTCCAATATCTTACCCAGGAACAGTTACGGTTGCCCACTTTGCTGAATTTTATTTAATGCGTGGAGTGACTGCTGGAGATACAATGGAAGGAGCCACACTCGCTGAACCTGCTCTGGCAAGACAGTCGCTTTGGAAAGCAACTGCTCATTTTCTTGATATATCCCTGCAAGGTAATAGTTGTAGTTTATATTACTACTTCATGTATTTAAGTTCATGAATGCAGACAGTGAGTATATGTTTGGCTTAGTTATTTTCTGGTTATCAGTTCCAGTCACTGCTTCAGCAGTTTTCTCTCAAAAGGATTGATTAGTGTATCAAAATAGTCTTATATATAGGATGATAGATTTACTCACAAAAAAGTTAAGAGCTTATGCACATAATGACTATTTTGGTATACATTAACCTGTATGCTACAAGTTCCCCAAAAAGGGCAAAGATTCATAATGATGCCAGGAGGTTTTGATGGGCCAATATCCCTAAGAAAAGAGACAATTTATGAATATAGATATGTTTCTGTAGACCAACAGGCTCTGTAAAGGCCTGTCCACACAAACAGCATGATTGGCAGCCACATTAGTGGGCAATTGTTGTTTATCAAGTAAATAATCCACCCATGATGTGCCCACCAATCATACCTGCTTGTGTAAAAAGGCCTTGGGGTATTACTCCAGCTGAAGGTTGGAGGTCACCCAAAATGCCCTGAGCCAATCAGCCATCTACCTGATTGAAATAATTAGAATAAATATGGTTTACCACAATAAACATGTTTTGTGTAGTGTTTTTCTTTTACTAAGCATCATTGTATTCAACAGCTTAAAACAAATGTTTTTGCTCAAATTGTTATACTTAGATTTTTGTAGTATGGAGAATTTAAGATTTTATTTTAATGACTTTTGCCATGTTTCATGTAGTGTGCTTGTATAGAATTGCACTTCAGGTTATTAGGTCACATATTAGTTTTGATATACCTGTAATTATGTTTTAATGTTAAAAATGTAGTTGTACAGTTGTTTGCTACTTCATTATCTGTTTTTCAGTGTATCAACAATCCTGTTTTTTTATTGACCGTGGTGAGTTATGGTTTCTTAACATCTTGATACTAGTATGCTTATATGTATATGTATATATGCACAGATGTATGTCTGCCTCGTAACTGAGGAGAGTGTGTTCATAATAACAAGTACTTTTGGAGGATTTTCATTTTATTTTCTTGCATTGTATATCCCAATTTCAAAAGTAAAAGGAAAAAATTCTAATAATTTGTATTGACATAATTCTGTGTCTTTTTTTTTATACCAAGAGCCGTTAGAACATTTACTGGGAAGCATAATTTCTTTAATAGAATTTTGTAAATATGTGAATTTATAATTTGTTTAGCAGGAATAAACCACTTTGTAAGGAGAAATTTGTATTTTTGTCTATTTTTACAATATTTTTCAGACCAGGTTTTCCTTCAGTGGCGTTGCTCACAGGTGGCAGCTGCTTGCGTTGCATGCGGTCGCTTGTGCTGCCATTTGCTACCAACATGGCCAGTATCACTCCAAGCAACAACTGGGTACCACCTACAGACCCTCTCACAGCTTATGGATCTCTTGTTTAGGTCAGTTATTCCTGAAAGTGTTTTGTTTGTTCATGTTAATTTTAAGTTTCTATCATCCAACTTATTTCTCACCATAAATGTCAAATGCTTTGTATATATATACTATGTAATAACACATGGATTAGAGGCTCCCTGTAGCTGTGGTACACTTATTTTTGTTTTGGTTAATGTAGGCCACATATAGTAAAATAACTTCCTTTTCCTTTGTGATTTTATCCTTAGCCTTCCTCTTTATAAGTCTGAATGTTCCTAAAAAACTAATCTTACTTTCCCCTTTATTTATTTCATTTTCTTTTTCTCCCCCATCTAAAACTTTCTACATTTATTTCAGATGTAGAAACCTGTCTCTTGAGAAATATAACTCTTTCCTCATGCTAGAATTATTTTTGTTCAACAACAAATCACATTGAAAGATCTTCGTAATGTAGCTGCCAACAATTTTGAATACATTCATAGAAATTTTTCTTTATCCATTAGTGTACAGTTGAGATCTATTGGAACATGCTTAATATGTTTGTTAATAGCAAGTGCTTCTAATTTCTCTAATTCTTTTTTACTTTTTTGATGACTTTCTTGGTGATACACCAAAAGGCCAATATTGATAGACTACTTTGTTGACAACTATGTGTCAAAAGCCAATTTATGGTATTTATTGCATTTATACCATATTGAGTTTTTTATATTTAGACTTGACAGTTCTTTGTATTTTTATTTTCCTGTCTTCTTTCCCTGAATAGGCTGTATGAGAGTGAAGACAAAGCTAGTGTTTGCAGCACTCCTGATTCAGGGTATGGCAGTCGGTGCTCCAGCGTCCAAGGTTCACCCGTTTCTCATAGATTAGGGGAAGTATAGGTAAAATGCATTCCTTTCCTTTCCACTACAAACTGAAGTGGACAAAATGTTCAAAAGAAAGAATTTATTTACATGTGCCTTTATAAACCAACAATATATTGCATGTTCCCTACACCATTTCATGCACTTGAAGTCATTGATATACTTTGTTTATGTTTATGGTGTCTGGATCATGGCCAACTCGAGATTAGGGTTGTTTGTTGTCTTTCAAAATTAGAATCTATTATTTTTAGGTGGAAGGCACATAACTGTTGGATATGGTTTCCTCCTTTCTGTGATATATTTGTTGCCAGAAATGTCGGTGGCTAAATTTTGCAATATTACTTTGCTAATTTTGATATGTGTTAAAAAGGGAAATACCCATTTCTATGATATCTGATTATAGTTAAGGTGTAATATATAATGGATTGTCTTAAGTTATTGGGTGTGGAGCATGTGTTTGAAGTATGAGAAAGTTGTGATCTGCTTTGAAGCATTTGATTCCGTTTCTGTTTTTTAACCAAACATTTGTCCTCTTGCTGCTTTATTGCTGGGACTTTTTGGTGCTAAATATGACTAATTAGAAGTCAAAGTATTGTGGAGGGAATGTAAATATTTACATCCAAATTTAAATATTCCAGTTGTTTCTTCTTTTGTAACCATGATATCTTTAATGTATTACACTGTTATGTATGGAAACTGTACTCACCAATTGTAATCAATTCAGGGTAAAAATATACCCCAATTTGTATTGTACTAGGTGATGATAGCTTTATTAAAGAAAAAAAAAAGTTATAAAGATAGTGAGTCAAAATGGAATATCTCAGTCAAGTTCAAATTTGTATTACCCATATTTCATTTCATTAACATTCTATTATTTTAACCATGATGAAATTTCCCAGTGCAGGAAGTCTGGAGTAAGTTTGATTTCTTTGCATATAGAACTGGTGAGCATTCTGAATTTACCCATACATATTTGCTTAGTTTTATAGGTACAAATGTAAATTATTTTATTACACCACTACTTCTAATGGGAACAGATAAGGTGTCTGATGGTAATATTGGTAGAATTGGTGCTATTTGCAATTATGTGTTGTGCATTAGCAAGACACGTAAACTTTCGAACCTCAAAGGTAGACTTGAACTACTTTAATTTTCCTCGTGTGTATATCATTTATGATATTCATCAGCTACAGTAAGTGATTACGGTCTGTGATATGTATTTAAAGAATTTTTGCTTTGTGTTAGTTGGTATTTGTATTAGAAGTTGCACAATAAGTTTACCATAATTTTGTTAGGGTTATTTTTCATTATCCAATGTAAATAAAAGTTAAAATTTCTTTCTGTGTTCTAGTCAAAGTTCTAGTAAGAGTATTTTTTGGTTAACAGATGTTTTGCTTTTCTGTGATACACATTTTGTTTTTTTGTTGTGTAATTGTGTGACTATGGCTCAGATGAGCCTTTCAGTAAATGTTTTCATCATGCATATTTTTATTAATCATAATTTTTTTCTACCCCCTCAGTGGTATTGAAAACAATTGGTTTACAAGATGTGTGGCAATATTTTCATTCCAGAAAAGAATATTAGTGAATATGGGTTAACTTTAATTTTGATACGGAAAAAGGCTTGAATGAGAATAAATACGTTCACAGCACAAGATGGATTCAACTGGTACCAGTTATATTCTTGTCACAAAAAACATGCATTTCTGACTATACAATTGAAACTGACAAATACAGACCTTGCACTGTGGTGTTCATTCTCATTCATATTCCTAAACTTGTTATTGCATCAAAATGAAATTCAATACATTGTAATAGCTTTTTAAAAATCTATATATTTTGTGCCACAGTGGGATCCAAGAGGGCAATTTGAAAGCACCATGGATCAAAGACCAGATATACCATATTGATTACTTCACTGGTGGTATTCCAAGTATCTCTTAATTTGATTGTTGCCAATCACTTTGTGATATCATGTTATGATCCACTAGGTGAATTATAATTGAGAACAAGGAAGTAGATCATTACACAGCTTTTACCTTGGTACCAGGGTAACAAGGAATGAAGAATAGTGCACATCTCATACTGCCTCTGAACTGCAGTCTAGTCCTTGACTGGCCTGGTATTCTCAGGAACTCTACTTCTGTAAATGTATAGGTATCTTTAGCAGGGTATAGACTAGACAGTTTATTTGGTTGATATTCTTTATCCTAAGTTTAATGTTGAGGCTAGATTAAGTCTTACATGTTTAGAATTGCAAGGTTAACTTAATAAAAACTTGTTTTATTTAGAAAAAAGGTACTTCTATGTGGTTAATAGGTTTCCTATTGAAGTCAAGTTTCTGCAACATAAACCTCTAAGGTACCTAGCATTGTATTCAAGATTGTGATAGTGATAGTGTAGTGTTAGACTTTGGGGTGAAGCCCAAGGTAAGGAAAGGTCATACAACACTGATACAGTATTGAGGCAAAAAAAGTTAAAAATGAGTTAATGATTAGGTTAAAATATTTGATGTCAGTTTGTGATGATTAAGTTTGTGTTTTTTGTCAGTCTGTAGAGTGCTGTAGGTTAGTATGGTAGTAAAATGGTAAAAAGGGAATAGCAAACAAGAGTACAAAGGTTGTTCAGGGCTGACAGTCAGCATTTGAATGTTGACAAAAGGGAATGAAGATAAAAAAAAAAACAAAAAAAACAAGTCCAAAGTAGGGGTGATCCCTACATTGGGTCTCAGTCTCTCTTAAGCTGCCCTCCCTCCCATGACAAGAAGCAAGGAATTGGGAAGAGGGTGAAGTCGAGTAATGATCTTTTAATTATAAAGAAAACTATTTTTACTAGCTTCAAAGTATCCTAGTTTACTTTTGCAGTACTGTAGATGGTACTTTTATCAAGGAAACCATTTATTATCAAAATTTGTCTGATATTTGGTTATGAACTTGTAGATAATAGGACTGATTTATCAACTATCAAATGCTTCCTAAGTTAACCTTGTTTTCTTTTTTGTAAATATTTATATTAAAACCATTTTTAAAAAAACATTAAAACTAGATGGGTAAATGTAAACAAAACACCAAATAAATTTGTTTCAATTTAATATATAAAGTTTACAAAATGACTAAGAGATATAAATGTTAATCTCTCACTTGCATTTTGCCATTCATCCAAGTAAACTTGTTTAAATGGAAAAAAAATCTTGGTAACTCTTACCATAAACTGTACTTAGGGTTTTTTCCTTCTTTGGTTAGAGCATAACCACAAAACACATCAACTGAATTTTTTCTTACAATTTGAAGAGAACAGTGAAGAATAATGAAGCCTGCAAAACAGTTTGAGCAAACCAAATGGGATGTGAATAGGATAATGTGGTTACTTCCTTAGGGAACCAGCCTTTCCATAAAATGCTACATCTGCTTACGATGAATGTAAAAAATGCAAAACCTATCTTTTGGAAAGTTTACAATTCAATTTATTTTGACATAGAAATTATAATTTTATCTTCAATTATAGTGTGGTCCTTAAGATTTAAAGTAACCACTTTCCATACTTGGGTGCAGATAACTTGCTGGATTTATTCTAAACGAGAGTAAACTCGCTTGCAGACAACGTCATCAACCTTGCACTCCTGAAAATGAAGATTTTATATAGATTAGCAATAATTATAATATAATTTATTGCAACCACCTTATCAAAGTTATTCCATAAACTTGTAATCCATGATTAATTATTACCATATTTGAAATCTTACCATTAACATCTTGTCGTCGGTGAATTCTCGGAGAAGCTCAGAATCCTTCTCTTTCTTCTCCTTGTCTCCAACTTGCTTGTGAACTAGCTTATTGCCATCCAAAGTAATGGTTGACTGAAAAATATATTTGAATAAATACACAACAAAAGGCATTTGAAGATATATAAACTATGTACAATATATATTAGCACTTGCACAACAGATACAGTGGACATACATAGAAAATCTTCAACATATCTCAAAATGCAATTGATGTTTAATTGGATTTCGAAATGCAATTGATGTTTAATTGGATTTTAAAATTACTGTACAAATTCTCTATACAAATATAATGAAAGGTACAAGAACGAACACATGAGAATACAGGCAATAGTTTTCTTAAAATGTTCAAATCTGATATCTGAAGACAAATATATAATAAAATAATTTCGAGCTGTTTGAGATTACTCTTATTCAAATCCATGTGAAAATTGGTAGTTAGTATTTAAATTTCATGAAGGATAAATTCTGTGCCAGTCCTTCAACTGTAAATATAATTTTATCCAAAAACGAAATTTGTATAGCTGGCTTTCTAATAGACTTAATCATTAATCAAATTCATCTACAACACTAATTTCTAGCTGTCAATTGTGACATTCAGAAATGTAACTATATTTAACATCTTTAAACAACAAATACATCTCGATTAACTACTGCAAGTAAAACATAACTCAAAAAGAACCTGCATGTGCACCTCACCTTTACAACGCGGCCATCAGCTGTGGTCTCTTCAAATTCCTCCCCCAACTTGAACTTGATCTCTGTGGTCTTGAAAGTGGTGGTCGTCTTCATTGTGTAGGTATCGCCGTCCTTGGTGATCTCGACGGTGGGGGTCGCAGCGTTACCCATCTTGCGCATCACCAAGCCAACACCTGAGAATGGATGTCAGTGTTAGCATACTTTGAGCTGTTAAGAGAGACCGATTTTACAATAAAATGGTTGATTACCTTTAAATGTTCATACATACACATATCATCAAGTGTAAAAGGCTATATACACCATACATTTTCCTCCAATTCGTTTTTTAACCGAATTCCATGTTCAGTAAAAAAAAAACTTCCCAGCCTATTTGATGCTGAAAATTTTAAAATATACACAAACCCAAGACCCTGACTACACGTGTTTTCTGGGGAAAAGAGCAGGCGTTCCCACATTTGCTCTTTCGAATGCAAAAGACGAGTTGGGGCGCTGCTAACTAGACAGCATTGACAAATGTCCAATTCCCTTCATATTGCAGTCCTTACATCGCTATTCAAGATCGTCATTGAGGAAACGCCATAGTTGAGCGAGTTCTGAGAACTAGTTATTTCTAGAATGATCCGGTGCAAGGACGTTTGCAAACATGAAGAGGTGCAACTGTTAAAATACAATTCCTCTTAAAATCGTTCCAGTACAGCAAAAACATATATGGTCAGGGTCACGTTTTGCAAAGAATGTGTTGGGCAAGCGTAGCTTTTAGAGGGTCTGTATTGCTTCTCCAGTGTTTCGCACGACCGAACTTGACCTTCGTTTTATCAATGTCCTACTGGTCATTGGTAAACTGTTCAATCTCAAGTTAATAACCAATCGCAAATATTTAGTGGTAGAAAACGAAACAAAGCACAAGCGAGATTTATTCTTTAAGGAGAGGACATAAATGAGCGAGTAAGCATGCATTTTCGTGAATAGGCGAGTGAAACTGACAAATATTGAATGAATAGCAAACCAATTAAAATAGGGTCGGTCGAAAGGGGTACTGTTGATCCTGTACCGCTTAGCTTAAACAATAGGAAGGTTTTAAAAATTTAATTCATAAACACTGCCCAGTAGACAAAAACGCAACATTTCACTAAAGAAGCTTCGTCTTAATTAACTATTCACATGATTCGACAGTTACAAATGTCTCAATATTGATCCAACCACGTAGGGACAGTTGGACGGCAGTTGTGAGACTTCCCACGGGTATATGCAGAGCAAGTACGTCGTACTTAAGGCCACTTAAAATCCTTCATTTACTCTCATGCAAACATACATACCAAATGACACTATTTTTCATATTTACGTACAGTACATACATACTGTTCATACTATACATATATACTATACGTACTGCAGTGTTCTCATTTCCATACAATAGAATCCAAAATTTCTGGCAAAGTTTAACGCCTATATAGAATAATCTTTTCATTTAAATACAAAAGGTACATCGCAAGCATCACAGTAATACATAATTCTGCATAACATAAGAGTACTACCAAATATCCCTGTACAGTGCGAGCTAAATCCCTTCCCCTCATGATATAAATATGAAAATAAAATCTTATCTTAGACTAATTTATTTGCTAGTTTAGACACACATACATTAAAAATATAAAAATATAATTGTAAACACATGTAAATTCACCAATAAAACTGAAATACTAAAAGTATTGCAAAATCTGAAATTAACTCATACTAAATCTGAGTGGTATTTCATGCGTTTGGGAAAATCTATACATCTGTGCTCCCTTTCATACCGCTCTTGTAAGACAACCTCACTACACCTGCGCCATCTGCCCGCCCCCCCAACCCCCGTAAATCAATACCAGAGCCCGCATCTTCACCCTCTCCTGTATATCTATGGCTAACTTTTCCCCCAAATAAGTTTATCAAGCTGTTGGCACGTATGGCCATTGTTCTACATACACAGGTTTGAAAGCTGCCTTTTCAGAGACCCTTGTCTATTCCAATACGAATTATTTTACTATTTTATCCATCTATGAACGGGCGTCATCCCTATCCCACCATATAAATATAACCGCTCGCAATGACGCAAATCGCTGTACTACATCTCCTGGCAGGCCAACCAGGTGAGTCGAGCCAACTGACGACGACCCAGTCACTGCACATTCGCTACCACCTGACTGTCCAGTATTAATAATAAGGAATAATTAAAGCAAATGCAACGGTTATATTCCATAAATGCTGCCACCCTATTGCATGGTTGGTTCCGAATTTGTTATGAAAGACAAGCAAGGTTTGGGTTTGAAATCAATACGTCGACACCACTCATGTAAGGAATAATATATTACTAGGACATTTTCAAGCAGGCAAAAAAAAAAAAAGTCAATCCTTTCAACTTCAAAATTCTAGATAAATGTCGGGATTTTTTCCTCGTTTTTTTTCAAGGAGCTGCGTTATCTTATCTAGACTTCTCGGCTGCATCCAAGTTTTCAAGGAGGCTGTTCTAGCTAAACATCTTGACATTAAATTGCACAAAATTAATTTCTCGTACAACAGTTACTGTACTGTCACCCTTCTCTAATTCTATTCCACACCAACCAAACTTTAAACGAAATCTCAAACTTTAAAAAATGGAAACGCATTACAAACGCACTACATAAATCAGTAAAAGTTGATCAAACTCGCACAAGTCAGTCTCGGACCTAACAGGCTCGGAAGCAAGCACAGCTGCTAGACCATGAACTCTGGACAGTGCACAAGAAACTAAAACGTAAGGTACGTTTTCAAAGTATCCCGTTGATGAATAGAAAAGAAATAAGGACCCGGAAATGGCGCTGCCACATCTACGTATTACATATCTACCAAGAAAAGCCGGGCATATGTAGAGCAGTCCAAGATAAAATGGGGTTTCTTCGTGGAGGCTAAGCGATGGCATGTGCAAAGGGTTGGAAAAGAGAAACCAAGAAAGAAAAGGAAAAAGAGAAAGAGAAAGAGAAAGAGGGAGAGAGAAAGGTAGGGCGTGGTGAAACTAGGGAAGGAGAGAGGAGAAGGGAGGAGGGAGGGAAAGGGAGGAGGGAGGGAGGAAGGGGAGGAGGAGGGAGGAAGGGGGAAGGGAGGGAGGAAGGAAGGGAGGGGAGGAGGAAGGGGAGGAGGGAGGGAGGGAGGAAGGGGAGGAGGGAGGGAGGAAAGGAGGAGGGAGGAGGGAGGGGGAGGGAGGGACTAGGGAGGAGGAAGGGGAGCGAAACTAGGGAAGGAGGGAAGGAGGGAAGGAGGGAGAAAGGGAAGGAGGGAGGGAGAGGGAAACTAGGGATAGGCGAGGCGAAACGCGAGGCGAAACTTAGGGGGAAGGTAGGGAAGGAGGGAGGGTAGGGAAGGAGGGAGGGAGGGGAAGGACGAGGCGAAACTAGGCGAGGCGAAACTAGGGAAGGAGCGAGGCGAAACCTAGGGAGGAAGGGTGTAAAGAAGGGGGGCGAAACGAATACGGGCAAGAGAGGTCGAGTAGGGAGGGAGAAAGCAAGAGGGAGAGGGGGCGGAACGATGAGAAAAAAGGAAGACATGCTATAGTTTACTATCACTGCGCGGCTGCATTCCTTGCCAGTATCAGTAAAGGAAATCCTTCGGAGATTCGGCCTCTAAAAGAAGCAGAAGTTGCATGCAAGTTATCATCCTCTCTCCCGCCCGCTTCTCATGGCTCTGATCTTGAAGAATGGAAGTGGTATTAGTCAAAATGGCTTGTGTCTACACGTTTACCAAACGCCTAAATATTTGAAGTTTGGTAATATTTAACAGGGGAGCAAAGAATAAGAGAAAAAGAATGGAGGAATATGGGGGGGAGGGGAGAAAACGGGCAGTGGAAAAAAAATGTGAGCGGACGTTCACTGCATACAGCCAACGTCATATGATGCAACCGCGTTTAAGTGACAATGCCCATGGCCGGTTAGTGTCACACGATACCCAGAATATAAAAGACTCCATTAAGGCCACCACTTTTCGCCAGGGCCAAGTGAACATAAAATCCACAAAGACGATAAAAATGTAGAGAAAAATTTAAGAAACGCAATATGGCGACTCACTCCCCCCCCCCCCTTCCCCCGCTCATTAAAAGGACATGAGTACATGATTACAACACCGCCCCGTGGCCTTTGGTAACGAGCCCTACTGTTGCCGGCCCCACAGCCGCGACCGCCATCCTCTATTACTAAGCTCGGCAAGAATGCCCATGTGTTTTTGAAATCATGATCTCCCCCGACGTCTTAGATACGTCCTTTAAGTCGAGTATCCTATGCGAGTCTATGTAATCGGGGGCGGTCTTGAATTTACACTAGTTAACCTCGTTTATTACAGGAATACGCTCTTAAACAGTTCGTGGGTTGTGCATTTACGCGAGAAATGGGGAGTGCATATGCCAACTAACATTCCCGTGGCTATCCTTAATAGATAAAGGACTCTTCCTCCCTTTTCCCACTATTTTCGACCACCGGTTAAGAGTGCGGCAAGAGCGCTGCGGCAAACGCTTCCCCTCCTTATAACCGGCCACAGCTGTCACAGACGCGGCCATAACCACGTGAGCCCCCAGCCTCGCTCCGCACAATCAGATGGGGGGGGGGAGCTTTAAACACCAAAACACTCTCAGGATAAACAAACAAAATGAAATACATGGTACAATTCTGTATTTCAAACGACCGACCAAACTACCTAATATTCATCAATCTTAGAATATGTACTTAGAGTGAGTGACACATAGCTAGCAGGAGTGTAACGCAGAGTATGACGTAGGCGCCGGCCTTCCTTGTCGCCATGATCCACTAAATGCTTTACTCCGACCCTGGAATCGCGTAACAGGACAATAAAACCAACTCTAGCAGTAAAGTCGACGGTATTTAAAGGACCGACCGAAAAGACTAGAAAGCATTTATCAAGAGTCTTAAGAGTATTTATCTAGGCTGTGCGGGATTCGGCTCAGCAAGGTGTAACCTGATAGCTGTCAGGTGTCGTACTAGACATGTACACACCTGCCGAAATACACAAATCTATCAAGGCGTATCTCTGAACAACTAAATTATATTCATTATTTGCCAATGATATTATATTAATTAAGTAATATTTAAAATAAGTACGATTAATAAACCAATAACCCCGCGCAGTTATTTGCTGCTGCTGCTGCTGCTAA